AGTGTTTAGCTACCTATTGTTACTACTGAATTGAGTCATGTCTCTAATATATTCATTCACACACCATTGTAAGAGTGGAAATGATTTTATTCCCTTTTTACTTGATGTGAGGCATGCAAAAGCTAAGTAACATGCCCAAGGTCACAGAGAAAGTCCCTTTCACTTTCTCCTCCCTATATCTTAGAATTCCTGACATGAAACTCTGCTGATTTATACTGGAGACCGCACCATCCCCTCTGCTCCTCCTACTCTCTGTCAGTGGGACCATCAGTTCTTTGGGGGGATTGAAACTTAGCTCAAAACTTGGCTCAGTACAAGGACATGTGGGTGTTACCTGGCTGTAATCTCTGAGTCAGATATATGAGCTAATCATGCCTTTTGCCTTTGCATTCTTTGAAACTATGAGCTCAAGATGCTAACAGCCTGGAAACATCACATTCTGACTGCCCAGTCCTGGTCTTTGATTGTTGATAACGTAAAACAATAGTGATTAAACATATAAATGTACAGAAGAACAATACTTTCACTACTACATGCAAGGCTTAAATGACGCACATTTGCCTTTGCCTCCCTCCACAAATAATCTTGGTTGCACATCACTCTCTTACATTTATGAACAATCTTCTGAGATGACTGACAACAGAGGTAACTGACATATAATGTGAACCTTCCCACTGTTATCCATTCCAAGACATGCAGCTGAATAAAATTCCGCTCAGTCAGACATAAAATCAAATTAGAGGAGTTCACTCTGAAGAGAAAGAACTAAATTTGAAATAAATAAAGCAGTGCATAATTCACTTTTAATAGGATATGTTCCTAAAACCACACTAATCATAATCCTAACAAGGTAATACATTACGTTGCAAGTTTACCACATCACTGTTCAGTATGCAGTAGAGCTTCAGTCACGTGAGGGATTTGCCCCACATACAAAGTGAGCAAGTATTTTTTTTTGCAGTCAGGATTGGATCAGCAGAGCACTTCTGTTTATTAATACTTATACCTTACGGCTATACAACACATTTTGCTCATACCACATGTGTTCACAAAGACCTCCACCCATCATTGAAATCTGTTGGTTAACACATAACGTATTTCTCCGCAAAGCCCTGCAGTATTACTCAATGGTTTAGAAAAGAACCAAAAAATGCCGTATCTTTCAACTGCACAAATTCATAAGGAAGGTAATGACTCAAACATGGAAGCTGGCTAACCGTGAAGTAACATTTCCTATGTTTGGCAAAAATGCCATTGGATTTTTACTGACTGTAAGTCAAGACCTTGGTTTTGGATCCAATTTTTAAGACAGCATTTTTCACCAGCACAGCAGCTCACAACTGTGAGAATGCCTGAGTTAAAGGAGAACATATGACTGCCTGCTTTGCAGCTACTCTTCAAAGTCTCAGGATGTCCACACTTATTTGGTGTATGAGAGCTGATAGTTTATAACCCAAAATGCTGTGGCTACAGGGCACAGATAAATCAGAAACAAGAAAAGAGTTTAATAATTTCTATAACATGGGACATCTTTCTACACCTTTATTGAAGTGTTCAACTCTGAAAAGTCATTCTAAAAAAACCAACATTCATCATGTTGCATATTCAATACCTCTCAGTAAATGTCTGATAGAAAAAATGTGCCCTGCTGACAGGTTAAGAAAGATATTTTTGTATGAGATTTTAGAGTCAAGCTGGGTTCTTCCTGTACTGTCAGCAATCAAAATTTTCTGACTGAAACATAGCGAATCATTCTTTTAATCACATAGCATGGGTTGTAGCATGCTTTTACAGCTGCACCATTTTTAAAGAACTAACAGGTGAGAAATAGTGAAAAAGCTAATAAAAAGGATATGATCAAATATACATCAGGAGCAGGTAAAGTAAGCAGATGCTTTTCTACATGAATCTATATACCGTGATCCTTACTTAGCAAAAATTTCCATTTATATATCCAGCTCATCCTGAAACATTGTTCCCTGCATAAACTAGCTTTTATTTAAAAGACCATTTGCAAAAAAAAAAAAAAAAAAGAGTAACAGTCAGAAGACAGAACTACAGTGCATACAATACAAATGGAACTATTTTTTCCTTATACAAACATTATGGCTGTGCATGAGGATGCAGCAAGGTGAATATCCTACAAATCAAACTGCAGGTTGCTGACACTGAGCTCAACTATTTCCAGACGTGGGTTATTTCTAAATTCCAAAGGTGTTTCTAATACTCAATATTCAATCCACATAGTTTTTTGCACTCCATTTTATTACCACACTTCGATGTAAGGGAATTTAAGTTACATAACATGCACACACAGAAATCACAGACAGAGACACTCACAAGTTTCACCTTCAACAAATATCCTATTTGCCAGCATGATGGCCACACACACACAAAAATGGTTATGTATGGCAAGCAAGAGATTAAGATCGTTTTAAAGCAGATACACACAATGGCTATGCCCCTGTCACAGCACAAGATGTGGATGAGGATGACTGGGAGTGAGGAGATGTGACTTATGCAAGCAAACACAACATGAGGAAAACTAGTAAGTTTGTATCCCTCAGCTCCCGCAGTCTCTGACTCTGAATACAGGGCATGTTCCGCCACCTAGGCACAGGCCAAGTCATCAGCAATTCCCCCGATCCTGCAAATGAGCAGAGACTGACTGAACTGAACTGAGCTGACTTCCAGGAGAGACCCATAAAAAAAAAAGATGTTGAATGCCTTTAAGCTTGAGGGGATTTACCAGGATTTAAAAAAAAGAAAAAAAAAAAAAAAACGGAATGATCAGACGTTATGGAGAAGCAGTGCCTTATACACTGGCTGTTACATTGACCAGACAGCAAACTCACTAAGCAAGATGAATTATACTGAGGGGACAAAAATTAAAAATTCCAGAAATGGGAGCTACACTGCTGCTGTTTCTTTTAATGGTAAATTTCAGTCAGGATCAAACCCTGTACTCTCTATTGAATAAGGATACACTGCCAGAAGGGGGCCTGGTGAAGCAACCCTTCTTGTGCGTACAGCTCAGCTCCCTCCGGAAAGTTACCATTACTGCCCTCTGTTCATTTCCTTCTGCTGGAGGTGTTCCTCGGGCTCGCTCCTTCACCAGAGGAGTCTGGAACATGATAGCATCAGTTTCATAAGTTATTAGCAAGCATTTTGCTTTACTGACTATCAGAGCACTTCACAAAACAGATATTATCATCGTACCATGTTAATGAATATAGGAAAACCAATCCAAAGAACAATAAAATGACTTGTACAAGGTTATCCAGACACTCAGCAGAAGCTCAGCTAGTACACTCAGCTTGCGAGCCCTACGCCAATGATCAGTAGGACATACAGCCCTTTGAGGAAATGTCCTCCATCTCTGGTTACCTCTCCTTACCCATGCCCTGCTATGAAAGAGCCCTTTTTCAGTCATTGTGGAGGACTCAAAAACACCGTGGCAAACCAGAGAAGAGCTCAGAAATGTTGATGGTGAAGCTCTGAACAGAATATGGAGTGTGATATTTTTGGCCTTTTCTTTACCATCAATCTCACTGAGGGAGACCTTCATTTCAGCATTGTTGCACAGGAAATTGGTGCCTGAATTAAGGACGCAAAGGATCTCATTAACAATTCTAGATATAATAATTAAATTTCATATAGCCAAACTCTGATTTAAATCTAGGAAAATAATAAAAAAAAATGTAGAGTTGCCACGAAAGGACTGCTGCATAGACAGAAAGATTGTGCCAATGGCTAGTATAGTCACGTAGGCTCAAATACCTATTATTTCAAAGATTTTCTTAGACAGGCAACTCAGTACCTCTACATCTCAGTTCTTCACTTCTAAATAAGGATAATAGCTAAATGGGAGCACACTAAGGATAAGGCAAGATATGCAATAGAAATTATGTGAAAATCTAAAAGAATTGGGTTTGTGCATGGGTAAAGCACAGCAAATTTGAAGATACTTTTGCTACATTTTGTATAAGCTAACAAAGTATTTCACTGACAGCATTTCAGTGCTATGCAACAAAGATTACATTTTTCCAAGCAAAGGCATAATACACCATACATTACCTTCAAATGAAATTGCAGATCTATTTTTTCCTATGAAACAGTAAAGAAAGAGAGACAAACCCTGCTTTGATAACATCTGCTGAGCTTCTTCTCAAGACAGAAGGAGCTACAGGTCACATTCTACTCTCCATTGAGTGATACCCAACATAGATATCAAGACTATTAGGGTATTTAAGACCAAGATGTTAACATCATACCTAGAGCTGGCAAACTGTAGCTATCCCTACAGTCACCAGAGAGAAGGAGACAGATTTCCCAGTTTTACACCTACAGTTGAAGCCCAAAGACAGTCCTTTTTTGTTATATTTGATAGCAATATTTGCACTACAGCAATATAGTCACTCCTTGATTCTACATCATAAATCTTGTTGGTATCACTGGGGTTAAGGGAAATCTGATACAGTTATAAAAAGATAAGCTATCACACAAATTACTTTTTGGCAAAGTTCAGCACAAAGACCTTGAAGTCAAACATGGCCCAGACAGCAACATATCTAAATCACACAAACTCTGGAGGATTCCTTCTGCCAAAAGCCAAGCTAAGCACAAATGGAATCAAACAAGGATTTTCCTTCATGTCCTGGTCATAACAGGCATGTTTAAAAGGACAAAAAAGCCTTTCCAAAAGTCTAACACTGACTTGAAAACTAATCTATGACGTGAATAAACTAAAGCAAACCTTTAATTTTATTTTCCAAAGTTGTCCAGGTATCAGTAACCAGGATATAAAAATCAACTAATCAGATGCTATTTGTTCTCTTTCAGTGAGTCAGTGCTGCCATCTAAAGCTCTCTAAGGGCATGCAAAAGAAATTCAAAGTCATGCATCTAAATAACATTCAGGAAGCACATCTGAACAGACAGAGAATGCAGGGTAAGTCATATATGTCAATAAGATACAACAAAATAATGATGCTGCAGTACCTGAAGGAGCAATTCTTTTTCTATCACTTCACCTGTCTTGCTGATAAGCTGCTTCTGTAGTCTCTGTATTTTCTGAATCAGCTCATAGGTACTTGGGTCACTGGCCTAGACAAGAGCAAAGCAGTCTCAAAAACTATACATTACAACAAGTTAGTGTTTCTTTCTTGCAAATGAAAGCCATAATATCTAAGTGTCCAAAAGTGACAAATATAAAAGGGGTGGGAGAGGGGGAGTATTGCCATTTTTTTAAATGGCATTTATACAAGCAGTCCTGAAACTGGAATCTCTGCCTCTTGAAGATCAGTTGGAGCATGTTCATGTTTAACACTATTACCCTCATCAATCCTCCTCAAAACAACTAATATAAACAGGAGTCCTTCAGAGCTTAACCCCCAAACCAACAAAGATTGGTAGAACCATGTGGCAAGGAAGGAAAAGGAGGTTGGTATATAATTTTTAGCAGGAACTGAAACTGCCCACTGACATATGAAGATCAGTGCAAGTACTTCCCACTGTTTTAAGGACTCAAACAGTGTCAATTGAGTTTTAAGGAGAGGAAGATTTTCTCTTGAACAAAAGAAAGAGTAACTGCAATATAGTCTTTTTAAACAGGTTGAGAAGTTAAGACCAGGAGCTAGTAAATGTTTCTCCTTCTCTTTTCATTCTTTTGTCACAGGTTGCATCTGGAGGAAGCTCTAAGGAGCAAACAAATAATTCTGTGAGCAGCAGCCAGCAAAGCTTATTTTCCCACCACTATGTACCTTCTTGTTGAATCCTTTAATGAGGAGAAAACTCTGACTGAAGCTTTTCCCCACTCAGGGATTCACAACACCTCTCTCCCACGTGGTTTCTCCTCTCTCATGTGGTGTCTCTGGTGGCTCATAAGGATTAAATTCATGCTGCACTAAAGGCTCCAGTAAAGTCCCGCTCTATGCATATTTGCTCGAGCTTATAGGGAACTTGGTATCTCATGGCTCTTAATCCTTTGTCTGATTTTATCTAAATTGACTAATCAATTCAAGTGTAACTGGGACACTAACACAGACACCCATGTAGTGCTCACAACACAACATCATTTCCTGAGAAACCAGGCTAAAAAGTAGTTCAGTCCCCATGACACACTCAGTCCTTGATTTTTTTATAGCACTGCCCAAACATGGTGCCAATTTGTGAGAAGTGTAGTGATATGAGGGTGTTTGTTCATTAGGAATTGAACCAAAACCCCATCAGGATTATTTCATATGGATCTTGCCATCTGCTGGCCTTTCTGTGTTCCAAATACAAACCAGTGACCTAGAATGGAAAGACGTCATTTCCCATTATCAGTCTATTCATGCATTCCTTTTCCCAACACTGGATGCTTTGACTGGCCTGATTTTCCTTTGTTACAAGGTGCTGCTGGAGATTGTACCTAGATGTCTTTACCTAGTTCAGTACCCTGCATTTTATCTCCCTTCCATGAGAAAACCTAAGCACACCTTTCAGCTTTAAGCTCAGCATGGAAAGATCAGAAATTAACTATCATGCTAGTAAGCACAGCCAAAATATTCACCTGTGCTTCTGTAGGGACTAGCACATTACCACTCATTATTAGAGCAGCTAAGCAACCTAGGCTGGCGTCAGATCAGAGATCCATGCAACGGAGAAATCTCAGCTGGCTTTGACTTACTTCGAAAATATCCAGTGATACCAATTGATGTTCATATATTTGGTCTGTGCTTGACAGATTTTTTATTTTTCCCCTTCATTTTGTGGGTTCGAATAGTGCGACAATTTAGATTTGTTGTTTACGTAACAGTTGAACTCACGTTACCTGGAATGGCTATCTTTGGGAGTCCACCACTGTTTATGTGAAGGCCTTTTCCTTTTCTCACAGATGTAATTTGCCTTCTGATTTCATGTCTGTCCATTCCCCAGTCTACCTGTTCCATTACCCTTTCTAATTCTGACTTTCTTCCCATATACATCTCTGTAATTGGTGAGGGTAGGATTGTATCTTTCCCGTATCATCCTCCTTCTCATCATCCATATTACGGAATCACCTCCTTCTAAATTCACCTTATGCATTCTTATTCCCTTTAGCGTTTGACTGGCTCTTTACAAATCGCTCTGCAATTTTTCATGGAGAAAGTGACACAAAAATAACACTGATTGCATTGTGCAAGGAAACCATCCAGCAGCCAACCATTCCACTGGTACTATGGAAATTTCAGTCTGCCTGCCCCTCTGCATAATTTGCATAACAGTAAACTAAATACGCTTTGTGCTGTGTCACTGATTTGGTAATATGGGCTTTGGGAACTTGAAATGCTGAGACATCACCTCTAATTTTCTCCATCTATGAACATTCAAAGGATTCTCCAGTTCTTCTTCCAAAACTTTGCACCGAGTCTGTTCCCTTAATAGTTCCTTCTGCATGTGATGAACCTCCTGTCTTAAGACCAGCATAAAACAAAAAGAAAAAAAACACACCAAAACCACATCAGTGTGACCAAGGCACTAATAAACATTAACATTAACAAACCATTCTCCCATGCACTACGGCACTGGCAAAGTGACTCTTGTGATTAATAGTCAACACTGATACCACTATACAGGTGGAATCGTAAGATAACATGGTTAGACCTCTTCACTCACTTTAGTAAGAATGGCTCAAAAAAGGGACTTTTCATCGGTTCCTGGGGCATGTACTCCACAGCCTACTGGATCTCACTGCCCACATCTTCCCATGTACATTAAGGCCAGAAGGACAGTTAATTCATCTAGAGTAACCTACAAAGCAGTTATGGAGTCATACCCAGTTACCCTTGTATTGAATTTGACAGCTTGTGTCTGAAAGAAGGTTTTAAATCTACATGGCTCACACAATCCAGTAAATAAAACACACTCTAGGACCTAAGTATGATGGACACTGTTCTTTAGAGAACCCAAGTTTGATTTCTTTTACTCTTACTACCTCTCCTCAAGGAATTTCAGGGGTGATCTGTAGCTGAATTTAAAATTAATTGAGCACTCCCAAGATGCTTTATCAGCTACAGTTCTACGGTGGGGATGAGGGGGTCGAGGGGCAGGAAGAAAAAGGCATATTCTGCAGTGGTCCAACCCTTATCACTTTGGTGGGTAGATCCTGTAAGTTCTCTGAGGGGAAAAGGTGTGGAAGATCACCATGTGCCTACTCCCCCACTGAATCTTTTCCTACTAAGTTCAGAGTTGCATTTAGCTCACTAGAGAGAAAAAGGTCTTTTTTTAACTGTGAGGTTGGACAAGGTTATGGAAGAGGAAAAAAACCCACACCTCCAATTGGCAAATCAAGAAAGCTAATTAGCAGCACAAGTGATAAATGGAGTCTTTCGACAGGCAGTTTTCATGATGGTTGTGGACTTCATTAAAGTATGTGATTGCTGCTGCAGTTAGTGAGAATTGATCCACCCATCATGGCATGCATTGCACTATACTTCAATACCGTCACTGAGTTTCAATACAGTAACAGACTTTCAGCTGAAGGCATGTGGGCAGCAAGTTCAAATCCTATTCCTGTCTGCAGTCAGTCAATGAAAACTGCAATTGCTAATGTTTTGTGCCCAGTTCTCTTTTCTGTTACACCAAATCAAACTGGCATAATTCCACTGGAGTCAATAGGACAGATCGCGGATTGAAGTTAATTTGCTCCAGTGAAAGCCATGGAATTATAATGATACAGTTAAGCTAAAGGTTTCACCCAAAACAGTGGTAGCTACATAGAATTAGTATGACGGTTATCGGCTAAAAACATAGCTGCCTTTCCTTACAAACCAAGACTGATTCTATAGAAAATGACAATAGTTTCCCATCAGCAAAGAATACACCCAAATACTGTAGGGTTAAAAAAAAGAAGGGAAACATTAAGCCAGAGAAGGAGGAGATAAATCAGTCTGGGGCTATTAAACTTCTGTTTTAAAGAAACACAACCTTCAATGAAAATTTAACTAAATCTTTCTCAGAGAGCAAGCCTACTTATAAATCTGGAAGGAGAGAACTCTGAAAATGTGCAGTAGTCTGTTATAAATATGTCAAATGTTCCCCATCTCTGTGGATTGCCTAATAAAAAGCAGTTCCACTAATTCGGGCCTTGGGTACCACTAAGTAGCTCACTGAACTATGAACACCTTTTCTGCTGCTGTCTGTCAAGTTTATTCTGTAGGCAGTAACTCACAGTACAAGGGGAAATATGGAAACTATTTCAACTTTGGCCAGATGTCTCTCTTCCTCCTTTCCTCCTTCATATATTTTAATTTTCTTGGTTGCTGATAAATTGTTTTATGAATTTAATCCAGTCTGTGTTTGAGGTCAAACCAAACAATCCCCTTCTCCAAGGTATAATGTTTGTTGATACAAATCTTTACCATGCATAAAACACCTTTTCTGTCTCAAACACAGAATCGTGGATGCAGTCACTATGGAAATGTATTCAATCAGTTTTTCTACCTAAGCTCCTCCACGTCAGCCACAGTCTTGCCAAGTATCCCCTTCTCACGCCGAAGTTTTTTGATCTCCAGCTTGAGAAGTCGAATGTCTTCCATTCTCTGTCGGTATTGGGTTTCACCCTTGTTTAAGATGGACTGCTGGATTTTTATCTTTTCATAGAGCAGAGCCACTTCATCATTGCGCCGAACAAGCTGGGACCCTAGGATATCTCTCTCGTTGATAACCTAAGGATGCAGAGCAAAGCAATAATCTCAGTTACAGTTTCTCAGTACAATCCCAAAGTATCGTGACTACATTTGCATCAGTCAAAATCATGTGCATTAAGAGGTTTCACTGTTATTAGTGAAAGAAATATGGCAAGGGCCTTATAGTTTCCCCAGGGTTCAGTCACCTGAATAGTATAAACTACATATTCCATTCACTTCAGTATCTTAACATTTTGTTTCAACAGCACTATAAAGCTTTAGTAGTACCACATTTACAGTAGCTGAGGACCTTGAACTTAAAAATACACTGGACAAATGAGGGAACAGAATGCAGTGTGTTTGAAAAGCCAAATTAGAGATTCCTACCTGGTCAAATTCCTTCTTCTGCTTCAGCCTCTCAGCATCAGCTTCAGCAATGATTTTTAGGAGTTTTCTCTCTTCTGCCTCCTGATTTTCTATAAAGTGTTTGGTTTCTAGAGCCTGTTTTTTCATCTTAAGCAGTTCAGCCTGATGGAGTCAAAGAATGTAGGTAAACTGTGCTTAGTAACAATTCCCATTATATAAACCTGGGATTAAGAGTTAGGATTTTAATAAAATCTCATACTTTATTTCAGTTTCCTGAGAGGTACATATTGTTAGTTTTTGAGAACAAATCACTAAGACAAGCAAGCGTGAAGACCCTTAAAGAAATGTTGTAAAGAGTATTTTAATATTGTTGTGTTACACACAACAGAAATCTGGATGGATTTTTAACTAAGACAATGGTTCAAATTGTAATTCAGAAGGACCTCATTTAATACAAATTTTTTTAAAAAATTAAATAGGTCATATTTGGAAAGCATGTTATGAAAATCCAGCAGACATAAGTTCAAAGCCAGGCTGAGATGTGAGAAAGGATAGCTCACCTTGCCGAAAAAGGCAACAATCTATGCTATGTAATACAAATTAGCATCAACTCAGGACAGCCAGAATTCGTGGAAAAGATGGCAACCAGGCATGGAAGAACAAAATTAAAGAGCTTTAGTGCTTTTTTAGTGGATGCGTAGATGAGGAAGACTGGGAAAAGAGGGGCTGTCCCTAAGCGCAGGAGAAGTAATGCATTGTACAGTGATTGCACACCACAAACATGAACAAACACTGGAATCTGCCCAATAATTCTATCCTGTTGTCATGAACTCTATAATTCAAGACATGCACGTAGATAAAAACTAATAAGGTCTTCTTGGATTATTAGAAATTTCTATTATTGCTAGGCAAAGAGTTAGAGCCAAGATAGAACTAGCTGACTACAGTCCATTTTCACAGATATGAAAACTTTCAAGCCTTGACTCAAAGACTTTGCCACAACTCTGACCCTTATAAAGGATGATGTTCAAGCTGCCTTTTCAGGAAGAGCATCATCCAATGCTGAAAGAATGAGGCTATGATGAAAGCTGCACCTGCAAAAACATCGATTTAAGACAGAAAGAGTTCCATTGTCATAATAAAATAGCTTGTTCCATTCTTATTTTCTTTAATAAAATTCTCATTTTCTCGTATGTGTAACACTCATATCTCTCTTACTCAGTATTGGATGTTCATCAGAATCCATCAGCCGAATAAAAATGCAAGCCACTTCATATTGAAATGCAATCAACACTGTGCAAAAGCTGCCTACAAATGTAAAACTGCTCATGCGTTTGGCATTGCTGGATAACATTTTTTTAATTTATCAAAATTCTGTGTTCTCCTTATGTCAGAAAAAATACGAGTTGTAAACAAGAAGTGGTATTAGATGTCGGCAGTAAACATTCATACAAACAAATCTCCTCACTGGAATGCACTAAGTTAAAATAAATCTGAAGTGTCTTGTACAGTAAAGAACATAAATACTTTAAGCCACACAAAGGCCCCACAAGTTAACAGGACTTTCAATCAGATTAAATATGCTAAAAACTACAGTATGAGGGTCTGTGTACATTAGGTAAGAGAAAAGGAAATGAATAAGCGCAGTCACTGTGCAAGCAGAAAAATGGTCAGGTCTGAAACTGCTGTAAATCAGCACAGCTCATTTGAAGTTCCTTCAGAGAGTTTGTAAGAACAGAAAAACAGTTAGCAAGAAAGAAGAATTTATATGGTACCTATGCCAGCATCTCAAACCAAATTCAAACCAAACTCTTGTTTAGATTCTGAAATATTAGGGTAAGTGAAGAGGTTTTTTTAATTTGTTCTAGAGGAAAATACAAATTTTATAAAAGGTGTAACTGGGGCTGGACACAGAATGCTGGAACAACAACAAGAAGTCAGAGGTTTTACATCCAGATTTCTAGAAAATGCTAAAAAAAAAAAAAAAAAAAAGAGACATGCATGAACATCTACAAAAATATACAAAAGCACTTGACAGAAGCTCAAACCTGGAGGGCCACAGTTCTTACAGCTTTCAGATATATATTTTTCAACATTCAGATGCTTTGTCAAACCAGTCTGATCCACAAGCCTGTATGAAGGCCAGATGAAATCAAAAGATGGCATTGTACTGGCTTTAATGGAGCTTGGATCAAGCGTCCTCTGTTTCATTTACCATGATTATACATTTTTAACACCTTTATGCCAGCTGCATATGTCTGTAAAATCTTATTCCTATGAATCTCAGTCCTCCATGCTTTAGCACATTCTTTAAACTGATTTCCCAGGAACAGCTTGCTTCCTTCACATTCAGTGCAAACAGGACAAATTGAAGCTGGCTTGCTACACAAATAATTGGGTTCTTTTGTCCCTGTGTCAATCAGCTCCCTCTTTGAATTCTCCTCTGAGTTAGTATTCAGCAGAGACACTCAGGTAGAAGACCACAATGCCCTGAAGCTAGTCGGTAATGTGATGTCAGTGTATGGACATACTTGCTAGTGAATAATTGAGTGGGTAAACCATGTAGCAATCATATGTTTGTCAAATGGACGGGAGACAGTTCTGAGGTAATGAGACAGAATTGGGAACTAGTTAAGGCAGAAAGCTGCACACAGGAAATGAAACACTGTTTGACTCCTCCATCACTGATAGAACAACTCTGAGACAGATCAGGTATAAGAACACAAATCTATCACCTTTTTACAAAGCTCTGTTGACATCTTGTCATAACTGTAATGTGCTGAGAGGGGCTGAAAACTCAACGAGTCATTGCAGCATAGCAATAAACTGACAAAAGAAAACATTGTGGAAAGCGGCAGAGGACTGTTGTTTTGGGGGGTGGTGTTCGTTTCCTGGTTTTGGTTTTTTTCTACTGCTTAGTGAAGAGAAAAAATAAGCTGCTGTGGACACTAACTCCTTAAATCTTTTGAGAGTGCAGCAAATTGGGTTGAGATATCACCACAAATCTAATAGCTTATCTAAGGATGGGCTGCAGCCAGTGCTGAGAAGAAGAACCAGAGCTTCAAGCTCAGATTTCCTTTGATTTAAAACAGATTCTTCCTGCTTTATACCACAATATTAAAGTAACTTTCTGTGCAGAGGGACCTACTAAAAGGCACAGCCTAACTCCCAGAAGACTAATGCTTGCTAGTCACACAGAAATACAAGATTGTGAAGTGTAATATAATGGGGTTTGCACTTAAAAACAGCAGAGAGAAAGAAGTTTTTAAAACGAAAAACTTGAATTATAAGAGTCTATATTAAAAAGTTTGCTAGAATCAGGCTATCCCCAAAATCCACATTTCTGCAAGCAAAATGGAACTTTTTAGTAAAAATGTTCAGTCACCAAGAGATTTAAAGCTTCCAACAGACAATCCAGGACCTTTTTGATTATAATTATAGGCAGAGATTAAATTTGTCAGATACATGGAAGATTTATGTAACTGATACCTCTAAAGGGTACTGAGATCTCGTGCTTTTTTAATTACAGAATAGTTTTTTAAAATACAGCAAAACAACTACCACAGACCAGGAACGTGATGCAGTCTGAAATCATAGAAACCATCCTTTGTAAGAAGGTGTAGGTGTAAAGGCTCTTACTTTCAACGATTCCTTCTCCTTCTCTGTTTGCTGATGTTCTAGATGTGCTTTCACAAGGGCTGCTTCTTTGTCTGTGATCTCCTCTTTCAGCTGATCTACCTGATGTGTCACAATTTTCAGTTTCTTCTTAATTTCTGCTATCTCATCCTAATAGGACAGGAAATGTGATCACAAAGAGGGATCAAAAAAGAGCAAGTTTGGACTTGGGAGTTCAGGCTATTTTGATGTTGGAAAATGCTTGAGTGCTTGAGAAATCTGTCATATGTACCACAAGACATCATTACTTTTTAATCCAACAGAACAAAACAGTTTCATTAAATGACAATTTTTTGTTTATGCCAGCATGACATTGCAGTAAAAAAGCCTTTAAAAGATACATTGACAAAAATTATGATCATCAATTATGAGTATAATAAGCCATTTAATTTAAAGTGCTGGACACAGGGTAAGAACTAGCGGTCAATCCAAATTAATAAGATTCTGATCCTACACATCTGTATTCATGCTTCTAGTAATGTGTTTTTCAATACAGTTGGGCACAAATGTTGCAGAGAAGCTGTTTTTGTGCAAATGAATATACCCATGAGTAAGATACCTATATGCCTGCAAGGGAGTATAGGAAATGCTTACCTCCATTTTGCCTATGTGCTATCTTGCACATAGGTGCCGGGGGGAAGAGTGTGCTCAGAGGTTGAGAAGTCCCTGGTAGGAGAATATTTAGCATATATTTTAAGCTAAAAACACAGAACAAAAAGCCTGGTAGCACTGCAGAGAGATCAGGTCACTAGGATTACTTTTACTCACAGCACAGATGTGCCTGCCCATACAAAATTAAGAAACTGTTTCAACTCATTGCAGTGATGGCAGATGTTGTGATGTGAAATGGAAGCTAATAAATTCAGTGCTTAGACAGACATGCTCTTCTGGATCTAATGAAAGTAGCTTTAGAAGCTATTACTCCTCTGCTAGAGGCTGCCACCTTACAGAGAAGACATCATAACCTTTCATGTGAATACATTCTGTTTCAGTACAAAAGCAGGGCAGCTTAGAGCTCTTTCAGCACTGTCCACCATAGGTGTGGATTTACTTGACAAATTATGTTTTCTTGCATGAAATGCTTAACATAGTTAAGCAAGATCTTGAGTCATGGCAATCTTCACAAACAGTACTGAGAAAGTACTGATTAGTAGTCTGACAGCCCTCAAAAACAAAATCCGTGGATTCCATACTTACTTGGCAAATTAAATGAACCAGAAATACATGTAGCAATATGCCTCTAGGCCTACCTGTTTGCATGTTCAGTCACTCCTGTGAATGCAAAAGTCATATTAAAAGCTGTCTTTGCTAAATAGCCTATAAATCTCTTCAATATTGTAAAAGATGAGAGATATTTAAAATCTGGTGCCCAGACATATACCCAAATACATTCATAACACTGTATTTAATGAAGAATAGTAAGAACACACAATTTTTGCAAATAGGACGTCTAATTAACTTGCTTAAACAAATGAGCTCCTAACACTGAAAGAAACACCAAGGGTAAAGCATCAGATATTTATCTCATATTAACAGACTGCCAGCATGTCTTTTCCAAGAGATTTTATTGATCTGAACATTATGGTAATCTGGAGACCACTATTTCCCGTACATGCAGACAACTCCTAAAGGGATAAACCAGAGTGGAGCCAGGAAGGAAAGGAAAAAGTTTCTTCTATGATAGGGTTTTATTATCCCGTAGCTCCAGTGTACCATGATTTTACGTGTGGTTTGAAGCAGGGAAATTGCCATATGATGACTGTGGACTCCTATTTCCAGTCCAAATACAAGCTGTCCAGATAAAATGTCAGGGACCTAAAACATTCATTTCCCCAAAACACACAGGAATGAAGAAACCACTTCTGCCATTTATCTAATGAGCTTTCCTTTTAACAAATTAAAATTAGATCAGGAAAAAAAGCAAGAGCAGAGAGAGAAACACAAGGAAAAGTGTATCCTTCTACCTTAGCTTCAACCAGATTTTTACTGCACAGGTTCCTCTCTGTTCTCACAGCTTCACAGCGGTTTTGTTGCTGTTTTAATTTAATTGCACACTCTTCTATTTTCTTCTCATAGTCACAGATCTGCATTTCCCGTATTTCAATATCTTTCAGGTGCTGGAGGACCTGGAGCAGAAAGAAGGAAGTAAACACGATTAAACCATCATCACAAGATTATAAGGATGGGGCAGAGTTTGTGATTTTCTTCTAAGATGACAAGTTCAAATCCCTGTGATAAGAAGTTTTAGCTACAGCTAAAAATCACTTCAGTCCAAGTAAAATTTTAAGCTTTCTGGATTGCTTATGGGGGACAACATTTTATTTTATTTTTGTTTAAAACTAAAACTTACAGATGTGCACATATTTAATTTAAAAACAAGCTACTGAAAATATTGCCAGTGAGTGGGTTCAATAAAATCAACATAAACAGCTTTCAACAAGAATAGCCTTAGGTTATATATAAAGCAAAGCTAGACTTTGTATGTTGTTTTGGATGTCAGCTGTATGATAAGGCAAATAAAAACACATATGTTTTTCCAAGAAGCCCTGCACGTACTCCTATATTCTAATAACCCAACTTTTTTTTAATGAACACATGATCACAAACTGTTCATGATCACAAACTGTTGATATATAATTACAATAATAAGAAAGTCAGTTAATGTAACTTACACTTGATCTAAATAAGCAGGTAACCACCATTACTTGCTTCTATGAAGGTTTAGAAATAATGATGTGAAGATTACCTAAAGAGAATGGAGTATTGTAGACTGTACAAAGAAGATAATCACATGCAGTATCAATAAACAAAAAGAAAAAATTTTATAAACATCTTTATTAAACAGTTACCACCATAACAATACATAAGAATTACTACATTAAAGGAGCAAAAATACAAATAGTTGCTAATCATTATAATAGGCTTCCTAATTATTTTTTTAAAACATAAGAACCTTCCTTCCTCCTGCTGTACAAAGTTGAAAACCAAGAAGCACAAACAAGCAGTATTCAAACAGAATCCAGCATTACAAAGAAAGAAGATTACACGAAATAAAAAGAAAACTAAGGAGTACACACATTAAGAACATAATTTTTCAGGTTCACTGCCCAGGGAAGAAAACAATGCCACCCTTAAAGCTGGGAAAAAGATCAAGCATTAAAGAAAAAGCTGAGGAATCACATGGACAAAATCCAGGAGAGAAGTCCACTTACAACTGCATTTCATACCCAGTTCTCCTGACTCTGTTTTTGAAGGTAGCAGTTTGAGCTAAGATTTATGTTCATATGTCAAAGCAGAAGAATAAAAAAAAATGTTTACATCAAATAGTCAATAACTGCAAAGTTTGCGGTCGACAATGTTGTCCCTTGCTTAGCCGTAAAGCCTTGTGAGGTCTAACTATGGGGCAGGAGCTTAATTAATTGATCATTCTACCAGGTACCTCCAACCAACTTTGAAGATAGGGGATAGCTAAATATGGAAAATTTTATTACAGCAGCAG